AGAACAAGCAAAGCACAGAGACCTCGGTTCAATCCCCCAGCACCACATGCCAGCCTGCCTGCCCCCTGGTGGGCTGAGCTGGCCACACACTAAATAAATAAATAAATATTTAAAAAAAAAAAAATTGAGCATGTCTTCTGCTCTGGGCCCCACACAGGTTGCAAAGCAGCTGAAAGAGCAGCAGATGGTGATGCGAGGCCACCGTGAGACTTCCATGGTCCACGAGCTCAACCGGTGAGTGCACCCAACCGCCTCATAGTCTAAGCCACATGCTGTTTTGCTTTTTGGATCACTGAATCTCATCCTTGTGCTGTACATTAGAAAAGGTATCTGTGTCATTAAATATTTATGACCTTGCTAAGCTACGCATGCTGGAGATGTGAAAATGAATTTGTAGAGTCCCTCCCAAAAGGGGAACCTGGGTAGGGAGACTTAGCTCAGCAGGGGTAGAAGGAGACAGTGTGGCAGACAGCCCTGGCAACAGGGACTAGTTTTAATATCTGGTTCTAATTCAATATGTCCAGAGTAGCATTTCACATTGTGTCAGTGTAGGAAAAGTTACGGCACGATGGCTTACACTCTGGTTTCTAAGGGAGCTCCTAAAAGTCTCATGCGACATTATCAGTCTCCATGTGATGACCATCAAGTCACACGTGGCCTGCCTGCAGGGCAGCTCTAGTCTTGGCCTGGCCAGTGGCAGCATTGGGGAGGGGGCAGCCTTTCCAGTACCCAAGAGCTGACTGCGTTTGCCCCCCACCCCAGGTATATCCCCACCGCTGCAGCCTTTGGCGGTCTCTGCATCGGGGCCCTCTCGGTCCTGGCCGACTTCCTGGGTGCCATCGGATCTGGAACCGGGATCCTGCTGGCAGTGACCATCATCTATCAGTACTTCGAGATCTTCGTGAAGGAGCAGAGTGAGGTCGGCAGCATGGGTGCGCTTCTGTTCTGAGCAGGAGGCTGCAAGCTGCTGGAAGGAGCCCCACTGCAGAGAGTGCTGCTGTGGCATGTGAACTTGTGTTTAATGATGGGTTTTTAATTTCATATTCTTTCATTCCACTGCGTAAAGTGCTAGAAATTTTCCAATTTAAAATTTTGCTTTTAGTTTTTGGGCACTGGCAAAAAAAACATAGAAGAAAGTATTTGTCAGCTGGCCACCAAAGTTGGTGGTAAGCAATTGTCCCCAAGTATCCTTGTCACTTTCGTCTGAACCTTCTTGGCTGCAGGGGTCCCCACTGTCCCCCACGTGGGTGGGCAGTGTCCCACTCTGGTTGGAAGCACAAACACTGAAACCCCTTCAGGTAATGGAGCAGCACATGTGGCCTCTGGGGACATGGTGATGGGAGCACCAGCTGTCCCTTGCCCTCACCTGGGAGGGAGAGTCTGGCTTATCACTGTTCTGTGTGAGGCTCCACTGTTCCCTTTCTACAGAGTATCTTAAGGCAGACCTTTTCTTCAGAGGGACATGTTCCCCAGAAATTGCTGCATGCACCATGGATCCTTTGGGACAGTGTGCCAGGTTCTAGAGGAATGGCTGCCTGATCCCAGTGCTGCCTGTTGTCACTGGGTTATGTCCTTGTTCATGGCTGCACTTGCTCTTCCCATGAATCCCCAGGGAGGGGATCTCTTGTACCTGCCACCAGACACAGAAGGGAGAGGTTTGTGTTAAAGAGTCACCTCGGGTCCAGGTACAAGCAAGCAGGTGACTTGGCTGCTTTCTCATCCTGGCTTTCTCCAGGACCTAAGCAGGGAGCAGGTGTGGAGGCAGGGATCAGGGTCCAGTGGGATAGGGTTCTCCTGGGAACACTGTTGCAGTTCGATGTAAGACTCAGTTGTGTCTGAAGTGTGCTCTGCTTGGGAGGACAGGCAATGAGGAAGATAGGGCCAAGCCTCCCAGCCTCAGGCCCTCAGGACAGGTACAAGCTGTAGGGTGACTTCAGCCACAGACGGGACCGGGGTGTCTGGCCTGGGGTGCACAGCACCCTCTTGGGCTTTGTCTTGTCTGAGACTTTGCTGGCAGTGCTAAGCAGTAACAGCACGGGTCAAATGGGCAGGGCAGGGCCCTCCTAGAAGCCAAGGCTCCCACCAGTGGCGGCGAACCTACCACAGGCATGCCACAGTGGGCTATTTGCAGAATTGAAAGCTCTAAGGTTCGCCATCACTGGCTTACACCGTATCACACGTGGCCTTGTCAGACCCAGTCCTGAGCAGCCACTCCTGTGCCCTGTGCCACCGCAGCCACAGCTGGACTCCCCCTGCGGTTGGCTGTCATGGGGTAGGTGGGGGCTGATCCTGGCTTCCAGGGGACTGTCACTGTGGATGCCAAAATGGCACAACTGAGATACAGTGAATATGTGATTAATAAAGCCAACTTTTTACAAGCTGCTTGGTTACTTCTTTTTTTTTTTAATTTAAATTTTTTACAGGGCTTCTCATTTTTTAAACATTTAATTTTTTATTTATTTTGTGTGTGTGTGTGTGTGTGTGTGTGTGTGTGTGTGTGTGTGTGGCCAGCTCAGCCCACCAGGGGGCGGGGCTGGCTGGCATGTGGTGCTGGGGGATTGAACCATGTTCCCTGTGCTTTGCTGAGCTTGTTTTAAGTAGGTGCTTTAGACCACTGAGCCATCTCACCAGCCCCAGTTACTTCTTTATTATAGAAAAAAGTGTTTATTCTCTGAAAGGCAAGAGCAGAAAGCTCTGATGTGCCTTTAGCATCAGAGGCTTGGCTGGGGCTCCAGGGTCCCCACATGGATGTCCCTCCTGGGAGCACTGGCTGAAAGACATCCGAGCTGAGGAAACCCACAGGGAAAGCCCAGATGCTCCACAGCCGGATACCCTGGGGATAGGCCCTAAGAGCAGGAGCATGTGCTCTGCCACCCACTTGTTACACATGACCTCATGTCACCCCTGGTAGAGCCCAGAGGAGAATGAAAAAACTGAGGCTAGGAAGGAGTGGCCACAGTCAGCTGCACAGTGGTAGGGGAGGAATACAAGGCCCAGGCTCTGCCGGCACCAGGAGGTGGAATGAGGCCAGAAAGCACCAGTTTCCCCATTGCCCAGCCCCATTGTCCCCTTCTTTGTCCCTAACACCAACCCACTCTATCCCCTATGCCACTCCTGGGCCAAGCTGGTAACAGCCTCTGGAAGCTCCTGCCCCAGCCTTCCCAGGGCCCAGCACCCACTGCACTCCACAAGAATTATGGCAAGTGGAGCAGAAACCACTTTCATCCTTGGGGAGCTCACACCCCATTAAGTGGGCTCAGTGGTGTGCTAAGTCAAGAGCTTGTGCTCCCTGTCTGCCAAACTCTTCATCCTTCAGATCCCACTCAACAAGGCTGCAAACAGGCTCCCAAGAAGGGACCTGGATAAATGACACCTCTCCTGTGGAAAGAAGCCCAGATGCTGCTCTGAGAAGAACCTCCAAGGTGGGCTGTTAAGGAAAACACAGAGCAGGCAGCAGGATAACTCACTGTGTTTAAAGTGTGAGTGGGGGAGTGGTGAAATCTAGACAGTGCCTCAGAAAAAGACCTGAGAAACTCCTAGAGTCGCATCTGCCCAGCCCAGGCTCCTGGTAGGACCTGTACAGGAAGAGAGGTCAGCAGGTGGGGTGGGTGAGCTGTGCCACACCCAAGGGCCCCAAGGGAGGGGTCACCACAAAAGGCAGGGCTGTGCAAGGTATTTAGGGTGCTAGGGAGAGTCAGGAGAGGCCCCTAGACTTTTGGGGCACCAGCTGTGACCCTGATGGGATAGGATCTTCCTTTGTCAGCAATCATGGGGTAATCCACTTATAAAATGCTTTTCATTGTGTGTAAATTAGACTTCAAAACAAACATAGCCAGACATGGTAGCCCCCACCTATAATCCCAGCAGTCAAGAGGCAGAGAGATCAAGAGGCGAGCCTGCACCGCATAGAGTGACCCTCTCAGTCAATATCCAAAAACAGGCAAGCCTGTCTACAACACCTGTGCAGTATTTTGAACCACCAAAGCGCAACTAAGGCCCCGTGAACCCGCCCCCGCCCCGGGGAGAGGGGCGGGGTGAGGGTTGGTCACGCCCTCTTGGGCGGGTCAGGGGCGGATCTGTGGAGGTGACCACCTCTGACTCAGGAGCTGAGGCCTGGCAATCCCAGAGCAGGCCCCAAAGCGGGCGCGAGGAGGAGCAGCACTGGCTGAGCCTTCCGAATCCTACCCGGTCCCTGCAGCCATACCTTCCGCGCGGGACTGTGGTACGGTCACGCAGATAGCTCTGGACCCTCTGGCCACCACTCCTCGTTCCCAGGTCCACACGTCCCCGCCCTGCCATGTCGCCCCAAGGCCCGCAGCCCCATTAATCACGGAGCTGACACGTGGAGGCGGCGGTGGGGCACGATCACAGCGCCCATCGCGCTTATCGCGCCGGCCCAGCCGCCGCCCCGCCGCCATTGATCCCGGGCCGGGCCGGGGTCAGCACGGCGACGCGGTGACAGCGCATCCATCGCACGCTACGCGGGCAGGCACGGCTGGCCATTAATCACCGCCTGCTGCGAGTGACGGCCGAGCGACAGAGCAGCCAGGCTGCTGTCCTACCCGAGGGGGAGCAGCCCACACCGAGGAAGAAGGGACAGAGAAGGCAGGGGTAGAGGTGACACGGGGCTTCTTTCCACCACTTGCAAGGGCAGCTGGCCCAGCCTGGCCAGTACTGCTGCTGGCTGTGACAAAGGGGTCACTTCTTCCCCTGGCTGGGCAACCAGAGGATGGGGTTCCTCAGGCTCAGGGAAAGAATGTGAGGATGTGGTTCTTGGAAGTGGAGGACTGAGAATTAAGCCTCAAGGTTTTGTGCAAATTGAGGGGTCCTCAGAGCCCTTCCGAATTCTGGCATCTGGGTAGGAACAGGTAGAGCTTTGTAGGGTGCTGGTTCTTGTATGACAAACTGTCCTGCGCTATTCTCTTCTTCCAAGAGGGACCTCTCCTTTGAAGTTTGGTCATCTCACAAAATCCAGACATCTGTCTTAGATTTAGCTGTTCCACCTGCACACACAGATGCTGAGACTGAAGGAGAGGAGGGGTCAGCTCTGTCCAGATCAAGTCTGGGAGGCAGGGGCACAACACAGCCTGAGAACCTCTGCTGCACATGCTGCCTCCTTCATCCCATCCTCTACAGCAGGCATTCTGGAGTGGGCCCCAGGGACCAGAGAGACGAGGGGACAGGGTATGACCTCCTTTGGCAACTCCACTGCACTGGGGAAGGAACTAAGGTCACTTTCTGGTATGAGCAGGTATGATGGTGTGTGTATGACCTGTCAGTCTCAAGAGTGACCCTGAGGTAGGGTTCTGCAGGGACTGCAGCAGGGACAAGGGTCCACCAGCCAGCCTAGGACTGTCTTTCAAGAGCCCTTCCTGCTCCCTAGCATCCAGGCCATTAGCAGAGCAGACAGGGGCTGGGATTTATGTCTTGACTACCAAATCGCTCGCTGGGAGGCACTTGAGGGCCTAGGCCTCACTCAGAATATTCAGCCACTGCCTTGGCCAGCCCCCACCCTCCTCACTTTAATATTACAACAATTTTTCACCCTGTAGCTGAAATAGTGCAAAAAATGGGGCTGCTGTAATTGTTGTTAGATTGTGTGTCAGGCTGATAAGATGTAACAAATATTTTCCTCCCCACCAGGGTCTGTTTCCCTCTTGGTAATGGATGGAGAAACTTCTCATAGTCTACGAGGGATTGGTCGTAAAAACTTCGCTTGGAAGATTAATGTAATAATCACAGGCCTTACTGGGAAAAAATAGGAGAGAAATTAAAATAAGCAAACCTTCCTACCTGTCTGGAGTCATCTGTCCCCCTCCAGAGCATAAGCTCCCTGGGCACTGCCAAGGCCAGAATGCCAAGGATTGGAACCCAGGGCCCCAGAGGAACAAGGCCAAGAGCCCCTTCTGAACCAACTCCCCTGGTGCTAGGGGCCCTGGGCAGCTGAGGTGCACTGTCCAGGCTGTGGCCAGGTCCCCCGTCACAGGACTCTGTGCTGCTCTTCCTGTGTTGTGCAATCCCTGACAGCCATGCCAGAACCAGCCAGGGCAGAGATCCAGTCCCAGGCCGCCTCCTCACCACTGATGCCGCCTCATCTCATCCCTGCCTCCCTCCTGCTAAATCAAGAGATGAGCTTCCCATGCTGAGGGGCGATGTAGCAATGGGGAGTGAGAGGCACGGATTCTTGTGCACCCTGCACCTGTAGCTCAACCATCATCCCTGGCCTTCCCCAAGACAAATGCCAAACACTAACAAGGTCCCTGGCACACAATGGAGTCCGGCCTTAACACTGTGCCTGACTGCAGCTTTGGGTCAGGCCTGAGGGATGACGTGCATCTGGCCTCCTGCACCCCTCCTTGCTTAGAGATTATATATGGATTTTGGTCTTTTTGAGACAAGGTTTCACTATGCAGTTCAAGTTGGCCTTTAACTCACTGCGCAGCCCAGGCTGTCCTCAAACCCATGGTGGTCCTCCTGCCTCAGCCTCCTAAGTGCTGGGACTACAGGCATGTGCCACCACACCCAGTTTCTTGCTTGCATTAAAGCAACAGCAGGACCCAAGTGGGCACATGGTCACACTGTACCTCCCCACTGCCTCACAGCACAAAATGCTGCTTGTCCCCAGGGCAAAGAACTTCCAGTTAGGGGATGTGGGGGCTGCCTCAGAGACAGCCACAGTGACAAGGACATGAAGGGACACAAAAGCCACTATAATAAGTGCTCAAAGGCCAAAGTAGGACCAGTGTGAGGCTATAACTGCAAGTACACACTCTGCACCATAAGTCACACACTCTGGGTCCATAAGGCAGCAGATGATACAGTCTATGGATGAGAAACTTTTAGCCTGAGGTAAACATGCAGCCCAAGAGCACAGTGTGGTCTTGCCTAGGAAGAGGGGTGGCATACAGCATAGGGTGGAGGGACAAGGAACCCTGACCAACACAACCCTAGCTCGGCAGTTAAGGTGACCACCAATGATGCACATGCCTGCCCCAAGACTTGAGGAGAATGACTGCTTCCATCTGGTCCTCGCCAAACCTACATTCCCAGGCCTGTGAGGAGAAAAGCATCAGACAAACCCCATCTAAGGAAAAATAAGGAAAACCTGACAAACTGGCATTGCCAGGAGGAATACTGAAGATAAAATGACCAGGCATCCTTGGTGGGAAAGGACAGAACCCAATGTGACCAATGTACCACCCACTCAGATGTCAGTGACAAAGTTAGCTGCGGGGCTCACCAGACTCCCCACACCATGTCCACAATAATCCCGTGAGTCTATACTGCTCTGAAATGTAAAGCATCTGGTGCTGGCTGTTGGCAGCATTGGGAATGGAACTCAAGGCCTCAAACATGCTACAAAAGTTTATTTTTTAAAAAACTTAAAGGATGGGGCCAGGGAGATGGCTCAGTAGAATAAGCGCTTCCCTGGCAAGCGCAGGGCCTGAGTTCAATCCCCAGTTCCGCAAAAAAAAAAAAAAAAAAAAAAAAACTTAAAGGAGGACCACACACTTGTAATCCCAGCACTTAGGAGGCTGAGGCAAGAGGATCACCATGAGTTTAAGGCCTGGACTACAAAGCAGCCTGTGAGGGCCTCAAAAAAAAAAAAAACTTGGAGAGAGGTATCACAAAAATAACCTGTAAGATTTTATTAGCAAACACAAACAACAAAGAGTTCCTCAAAGCAACCACAGGAGAAATAATGATAACAAAATAAGCCTTCAGCACACGACAGTGTTGCAGACCATGTCACTTCATGTACTTGTCCTGCTGGTCCGCCAGGATCTTGGCTGAGGACTTTGCATCATAGAAGAGCTCGCTGATCTCCTCCACGTGCTCCTTCTCGATGCCATCCTTCCCATTGATCTTGGCCAGCAGGTTGGCGGGGGTCAGCAGTTGCACCGAGTACCTGCAGGGAACAGGGCTGGTGAGCCTGGGCACCCCTTGGAACCCTCCATTTGCAGCAACACAGGCTCTGGGAGCTGAGCCCCATGCTAGGCTCAGCCACTCACTGGAGACACAGCAGGAAAGGAGAGCAGGATGCCATTTCTAAGCACTGCAGTCATGACCCATCTGAGAGGGGCCAGCGGCCACCAGAGCATCACACTTGCCACCCCCACATCCTCACCAAAGCCTCCAAGCTCTCCAGCAGAGAACATCACTGTTCACCAACAGGCTGCAGACTCAGTTGTGTACGGTGCGAGGCAGGTACCATCCAGGACAGCAGGAAATTCACTCAGACAGCTGGAAACGCTACCCACCCAGGCTGAGATTCAGTGATATCAAGAGGCACTCCTGTTTCCTCCTTGGGAGCAGAACTGACCGGAACACTGTGCCCAAGCTGCTGCCTTTGAGCCACAAGAACCAGTGCCTGTCTACCCACACTGTCCCTGCTCCTTGCCACCAGGCTCCCAGAAGACAGGCCTTGGGCTGGGGATACAGCTCCAGGCATAGCGCCTGCCTGGCAAGTGCAAGGTCCTCAGTTCGACTCCTGGTACCAAAAAAAAGACTGCAGAGGACAGACCCTGCTCACTGACTATGCAGCTCCCTCCTGGGCCCTGAACTCAACCCCAGCAGCAGGCAGAACAGTACAGCCCATGCCGGGGCACCAGTGCCCTCTCACCTCAGCGTGGTCTTGGTGCTGATCTCACCCAGGTGGTTTAGTGCCTCCTCACTGATGTTGATCCCCTCCGTCTGGGCTCGGATTTTAATTATCTTTTAGAGGAAAAGAAACAATTAGCATGGGTCCTCCCCAGGTATCTCACCTAGAACAAGTGTTTGGATTTGTGGAGTTGAGAGTGGAATATAGGACCTCATGAGTGCCAGGCCAGTGCTCTGGTATGGAACTCATCCCAGAATTACCAGGTGCCTAAAATGTTTATCTCACCCTTCCTCTCCTGCAGGGTGGGACGCTGGTGGCTGCACCCTTAGGAGCAGGTACCACCTTGAAGTCTACCTGGTAGCAGCACAGCTGGTGCGTGGTGCTTATCCAACTAAAGGGTGACCCCATGGCCCACCTGGCACTGGGGAGCTGGGATCTTTTCCCAGCCTGCCTGCTGCCCCCATAGCTGTAACCTTCCTCTCCAGCTGGGCATTACTGCCTAGGAGCAGCCAGGCAAGAAAGGGCATTTTTTATGTTGTTTGATAAATATGATGGTTAAATAAATCAAAAAAGTTACTTTTAAAGATTCCCCAGCCCGCACAACATCACCGGGAGATATCTAATCTATCAAGAGGCGGCTGTGGCGGGATCCTGGCAGGCGCTGGGTGGAGGCAGCATAGCTGCCGTCACTCGGTGGCGTGGGGTCTGCAGCACAGCCTCGCTGAGTGATAAGGGCCAGCAGGATAATGATGTTGTGTGTTGTGGAGCTGAGATAACTCGAGGACTTCGAGCCTCATATAATACAGGAATTTTTCACTCTGGCAGCTCCGTAAACAAGATATCAAGAAGCCCTTGTTTAAATTAAACCCATAAAAACAGCCATGAAGCCCAAGAACCGGGAAGGCGAGTCCTAGCTCTCCCTACCAGAAGAAAAAAGCCAAAGTGCTGACTGGGAGAGAAGAGTCCAGGTTCAGAAGGCCCTGATGGGAAGGGCTCGTTCTGGGTTCCCCAGGCAGCTGGATCCACAACCAACGCCACTATAACCTGAGGCACTGCCAGTAGATCCTTCACTTGGTTCACACACAGGCTCAGAGGATGAGCTCTGCCCAAGACGCCGTGATTCGCTCACACACTTCATAGCCACCACAGGGCCACAAAAGCCTCAGGCTGTCATACACACCTCCAGGGGCCCATGGGATCAAGCCCTGCCACACGGAGCTTGCATACCATGAGATTCCTGCTAAGGGCTCCTCCTCAGCTATGGGCTCCTTGAGTGACAACCAAACCCCAAGGCAGCTGAGTGAAGACAAAACTTAGGAGCCACTAATCAGAACCAGGGAAGGACAGTGGCCCCTAAACACCTGCTGTAGCCAAGGCTTCTTACTGACAAAGGTAAAGGAGGCTCAGCCCTGCAGAAACAGCATCCCTGGGGATGTCCTGATGCTCCCAGGACACACTGAGCCACAGCACCTGGCCAAGGACAGCACATTGGACCAAGTACCCCTGTCCACAGGCTCCAGGGACAGCAGGATGCTCTGCTCCTGTGCTCTCCTAACCTCTGTCTCAGATCATTCATTGCTCAGTTAACTGTTGGCACAGGGTGTAGGGGCAGTGGGACAGGGTAGGAGGGGTGACACAAGCACACAGGGCTGGGCTGAGGTGACCCCCCAAACTAGCAAACAGGACACTGACCCAGGTGGAGGTGGTGTGGGGCACAGGTCACCATCCTGGACACAGTGCTCAATATCCCAATATCTCAAGGCAGGCTGTGCCATGGCTCTGGGCTTGAATGGATGCAGCCATGTGAACTAGGATTGGGGGTCCCACTTCTGTCACTCACTGCATGGCCATGGGACCCCTGCTTTTTAGGCCTTGAGCCCTGGATATTCTAAAGCAATAACAAGGACTGTGTAGGGAAACATGATAAACCCAAAGCCACCAATATTTCCAACAGCAGCAGCAGTAGCAGGAAGAACGTTATTGCAGGCCACAAAACCCTGCAAAGTGGTGACATCTCAACAGTCACCAGATCTCTTGTTGAGCAGAAGAGGGCTACACTCAAGAGATACACCCAGTAGCCCAAGCCATTCAGAAAGTAGAGGGCCAGAGGGCACCTCATGGGTGCCTGGCCTGCTGCAGGTGCAGGGCTGCCTCCTGTGGAGCACCAAGGGCTCAGTGTCTCTGACAGTAGGTGCTCTGCAGTGTCCTAAAAATCTAAGTTCCCAGGGACAGCCCAGGACCCTCTGCTTCCACTTCTGCCACTGCTCAGTGGTCTCCTCAGCTCCACTTACCGCTGCCTAGCAGCAAGAGCTCCCACCCAGTAACAGGGCTGCAAGTCAATACCATCCCCTACCACGACACATGGTGACACTGTGAGCATGGGTCACACCCTCTAAGAGCAGACTGACAGTGCTGGGGCACACGTCACCAGTCCTTTCTGGCTTCTGTCATAAGAAGTGCCACAGGGTGCAGTCAGATAGGCCATGAGGGACCCCAGAAATGCCAAAGCCCCTACTCCCAAACTGCCAAGATAGCCATGCCACCTGGGGCACCTCCAGCAAGAAGGCCAGGTGACAGTGACTAAGAGCATGGGCTAAGGACAGATGGCCTGGACTTTTGCCTGTCACCTCCTAGTCACTGACCCTGAGCAAATCACTTAGCCTGAGCCTCAGTGACCTCATCTGTGAATGCAAATGTTTTGCCAGTCTCCCTGCCTGGGGACACCGAGGCTGTAAAGGACCGATGCAGTCAGGCCCGTCATGGCTCACCCCATGCCCAACAAGCCCATGCCAAAAAAAAAAAAAAAGCCCATGCCTCCCTAGGGTCCATGCACAGTGCACCAAGGACCACGCAGCATCAACAGCTGCAAGCACACCAGATACTATGGGGAGAGGCCCCGGGCAAAGATCAGCAGAACAAAGAGCTCCACACATGTTCTCCCGTGGGACACAGCCCAAGGCTGGGCCCTGGTTTGGCTGTGTGTCTCAGCTATAGGCCCCTTTCTGGGGCCCTGGTGATGCTGGGCACACAAGTCAAGCATAGGACTCCTGTGAGACACCCAGGACAGTACCCCATAGGACAGGCCCAATCTCATCCCTGTCACTGCCCACCCAGGCCCAACTCAAGCCACCTGTGTGCTTCTGCAGCATATACTATATGCCAGGCCCAGAGCCAGGTAGCCCAGTGTCCTACATGAGACTCTTTCTGCAAGGCCACAGACGTGTCTTGGGTGCTGCTCTGAGCTATGGGACACTGTTTCACCAAGGCTGCTGAGGACTTGGCAACAGCCCTCAGGGACTTGTACTTCAAAGCCACAGACCTTGCCCAGCCCAGACTTAAAGCCCCCCGAAAATGGGTAACATCCAGCATGGCAGACAGATGCTACTACGAGGAGGCAAGCAGTGGCCCCTCCAGGTTAGAGGCTGCATCCCACATCCCACGAGCCACCTGCGCCAGGCTCTGCTGGATAGAGGAGCAGTTGGCCATGTCCTCTGGGCAGAAAGGCATCACAGGTTCTGGCTAGGGCTGTACAGTCTAAGTCACTGCCTCCCTTCTCAGGGCTGGTGGCTTCCCCAGTGGCTGCCGTTGGGCTGTCTCAACATCCTTGTCCTCAAGCTCATCAGGAGGGACTATCAAGAGAGAGACCAGCCAAACCCCAGTTTTGTAACAGCTCAGCTATGTCTAGCTGGAGCAACCATTTTTCAGACAGACGAGCTAACCTGTGCAGGGGGCAAGAGGGTGTGGAGGCTCACCTGTTTCATCTCCTGTGGCGTGTACAGCATGGTCCGGATGATCATCACGCGATCCAGGAGGTCAAGAGGGATGCCGTGTGGAGAGGTGATATCCTCGGTGCCTCTGCAAGGACCACACACAGTCATGTCACTAAGCCTCTCCTACACAGGACACTGGACACCCAGTCTGGACACCCTGACCACAGGGCAGCTGGTTAGTGTCCTAAGAACCAGAGCCAGGCATGAAGAAATGGACATCTCTTAAGAAAACATCTCCATCCATTTAGGAACTATCAGGATCATGGGAAAGTTGACATGGAGTGTAAACACCCAAAGTCATCTTTGGAAATAATCACCTAAATACTTGCCAAGCTTTCATACATGCGTTCTCACAAATTAGATTAGCCATGCATAGTAATCTTGCTGAACATTGACCTAATGAAGCATCGAGTATCGTACTGAATCCAAACTGCTGAGCATCAGGTAGCTTCCACTGCTGTGGTTATGCTACCAGTGCACATAGCCAAGCACAGCTCCTTAGCCACTGTCTGTGGTCGTGCCAGACAGGACCCCAAAGATGCACATGAATGAACGGTCGCTGTCCTAGCCAACAAGGCCACAGCAGTGACCCAGCCTCTAAGCACTGCTCCAGCACTGAGTATCCCAATAAACACTGCGCCACTTAGTGTTTAGAAGAGAGGGAAGGTAAGGCTGCACCTGAATTTGTGACCAGAATTGTGGGGAGAATTAAGTTTGCGAACCAACGTATGTAGTTATGAACAGATGTTTGCTGACGTAAATGTCTGCACTCCTTGCATGGCGTTGATCCGCGGACCTGATACACCACAATTCCCTTTTCATCTCCTCTTTCCCTCATCCTCCTCCCTCTATCTCTGAATCCCTTCATATCTCAAGGAGAGCTATATCCCTAATTCCTATGATCTTTTACTTTGCTCTTTAATTTACTTATATGTTAGGTTTCTCATAGAAGAGAAATGATGCAATACTGAAGACTGATTTATTTCACTTGACACTATGGAGCACCCATCTGCCCACAAATGGATCAAGTTTGTCCTTCTTTCTGGCCAAGTAGTACTGTGTTGTATGTAATGACTTTTTTTATCCATTCATCTGCTGATGGACATACAGACTGGTTCCAATAGATTTGGTTATTAAGAATTTTGCTACTATAAATAGTGTTTCAGGGAGCCGGGGAGATGGCTCAGTGGAATAAGTGCTTCCCTGGCAAGTACAAAGGCCTGAGTTCAATCCCTGGTTCCACAAAAAAAAAAAAAATAGTGTTTCAGATCAGGTAGATAGTTCAGTGGCATAAGAACCTGCCTAATAGGGGCCTGGCCCTAGCTCAGTCCTTTAAGTGGCTGCTTCCACAAAGCTGTCAGCCTCAGGTTCCTGGAGTTCGAACCTCACAACTCTCTCG